TCATAGCTTTGTCGGGCATTCTGAGCCAACCCAAATACCCAATTCATCAATTTGGTTTTGTTGATCATTTTAACCTTTTCCATTGAAAATTGAAGAACCCAACTTTGGGGAAATGGATCAAAAGGAGCCGCAAGTAAAGGTTTCTTGGCTTCCAACAACCCCAGCTAAGCTCATTCTCAGAAAACCGATCCTAAAAACAGTTTCAACACTTTTTCTTCTTCCTAAACCTTCTTCCTTCTTCCGTTTCTTCTTGGCCATTTCTTCTTCTTCTTCTTCCTTCTTCCATTTCTTCTTCCATTCTTCTTCGTTTTTCGGTCTAGTTTCCAGCATAATAAAATTTGATCCACTATTCAACACTCTTTTATTTATAAGATGTGTGAAGAGCACACCTTGAACTATTGGGATCCTCGGTGCTAAGCGGAGCTTAAGAACGATTAGGGTTGAGAAGTAAGGTGCTGAACAATTCGATTGCGGGGCCTCGCCGAAAGATGTGGAAGCCGACGGCGAAGAGTATGAAGGAACTCGAACACTCTTCAATGCATCTCCGTGCTTTCTGAAAATCAAAGTGTGATTCCTCGTCGCCATTCAGATCCTATGGATCTGATTTTGAAACTAGATCAACGCAAATTTGTAGATTGAGGTAATTATATAGAGTAATGAATTTTCATTGTGAATTTTCTTTTCGACTCAATTGCTTCATAAATGTTGAAGTTGGTTATATAGAGAGTAATTTCTTAGTTCCTGAATTTATTGTCTCTCTGTTCATCCCATTGCATATGGATTTTGATAATGTTTCTACAATTTATTGTTGAAACTATGTAACCAAAGTATGCATCATGGTTTTCTGATTCCTTTTGCATAATGTGATCAACAGGCACATGTTTATCTTGGTTTTGGACCATGGAGCATTTTTCTATCTGTGAACTACTTATAGGTTCCTATCACTATTTGAATTTCCAGTAAGATCAAATATCTAAAATCACATTTTTCTTGTTAACAGTTTCATTTCTCGTCATATTCCAGTTCTGGGTTCTCTCAGAGATGATTTCGACTAATTATCAATAGTCTTATTTGTTCTGTTGATTGGTTCAGACAGACAAAAATTAGAAAATCATAGTGGTTTAAGAAAAATCACTATCTGCATGTTTACGGGTATAGTAAAATCACCGTGTATTCTAAAATAGTTATTGGTTTAAAGTACACTTTGTTTCTTATATTTCTCCAAAAGTCACACTAATAGTTTGTAATTTGAAGGTTGTGCCACCAAAGTTTGTATTTGAGGCTATATAACCATTCATAAAATGGAACTACTGGTATTAAGCACATTGGGGTGGAAATGCAAGCTTTAACCCCATGTTCCTTCATAGACTACTTCATTAGTAAGATCAATTGTGAGCAGCATCAAATGAAGTCATCCCTTTTGAAATCTGTTGAGCTCATGCTAAGCATGACTAAATGTATTGCCTTTACTATCTTTACATGTTTAGACTTTATGTGCGATCGATTTTCACGAGTAATGAGTTGATGTTTGTTTGGAAACTAATGCATGCATTGATTTCTTAGGATTCAAGCCTTCTGAGATTGCTGCAGCAATGGCAATTTCTGTTACAAGGGAATTGGAAGCTAAAGAGATTCATTAGGCCTTATCTTCTTTGGTCATGGTAAAGGAGGTAAGATGGTGTCTCCCAAACAATAGTCTATATTTTAGTGTAACATTACTGGTGTCTACATTGTACTTTTATTAGAGAATATATTAATATTGATCTGCAATTGCACTACTCTGTTAAGCACAGGTGATTCAAAGCTTTGTTAGAGAATATATTAATATTACATTGGATAGTCTTATACCACTAAATTAACGCTTTGTTGGTAATAAGAATAAGTTGCTAATGAAAAGAGAGTAACACACATTTATTAATTTATGTGATTCTAAATAATGACTCAATTACAATTAAATTATTTTTTAAATAAATAACAAAATTAAATTCTGTAAAATAATTGTTGTTTGTAAATTATCAAAATTACAATCAATTGCATTTTCCATAATTTTCAGAAGTTGTATTAGACATAATAACTAAGCCATTTTTTTCATTTGAATATAATAATAATAATAGAAAGTGAAAACACGTTTGAAGGGGATAAATATAAAACTTGTATGAATTCTCAAGTAAGTGTTCTTTTCTCTCTTCTCTCCATTTTGTGCATTATTGTTTCAATTTTCTCACTATTAAGATTAGTTAAAAAGAATTACTCTGGAAATAGTTAGATCTATACATTTTCGAATACCAGAAGCTTGTGGCATTGCGTTGAATTTCTTGCTTGAAGTTGAAAATCTCATTGTGTTGAATTTTTTGCCGTGAGTTTTCTTCTTGAATTTCTTGCATTGAACTTCTTGTTATATTTCTTGTTGCCGTAGGAAATTAAAATCATCACTGCAACCATTGCAGTAGATGTATGACAATTTTTGTTATGAAATTACATAGCTTACTTTATTTTAAAATAGATTATTATGTATCTTAGAGGTTAACAGAATCAGTTTTTATGTTAACAGAAACAGTTTTGCATCATTGGGACTATTTTTCTCAGGTAAGTGCTCTTTTCTTGCTTCTCTCTCCATTTTGTGCATTATTGTTTCAATTTTCTCACTGTTAAGACTAGTTGTAAAGAATTACTCTTGGAATAGTAAGATTTGTACATTTTCGAATACCAGAAGCTTGTGGCATTGCGTTGAATTTCTTGCTTGAAGTTGAAAAATCTAATTGCGTTGAATTTCTTGCTGTGAGGTTTCTTCTTGAATTTCTTGCATTGAACTTCTAGAACTACTTGTTAAATTTCCTGTTGCCATAGGAATTTAAAAACATCACTGCAACCATTGCAGTAGATGTATGACAATTTTTGTCATGAAATTGCATAGCTTACTTTATTTTAAATTAAATTATTATGTATCTTAGAGGTTAACAGAATCATTTTTTATGTTAACAGAAACAATTTTGCATCATTGGGACTATTTTTCTAAAGTAAGTGTTTTTTTCTCTGTTCTCTCTCCATTTTGTGCATTATTGTTTCAATTTTCTCACTGTTAAGACTAGTTGAAAAGAATTACTTTGGAAAGAGTTAGATCTGTACATTTTCGAATACCAGAAGCTTGTGGCATTGCGTTGAATTTCTTGCTTGAAGTTGAAAAATCTCACTGCGTTGAATTTCTTGCTGTGAGGTTTCTTCTTGAATTTTTTGCATTGAACTTCTTGAACTTCTTGTTATATTTCTTGTTGCCATAGGAAATTAAAATCATCACTCAAACCATTGCGTAGATGTATGACAATTTTTGTCATGAAATTACATAACTTACTTTATTGTAAATTAGATTATTATGTATCTTAGAGGTTAACAGAAACAGTTTTGCATCATTCGGACTATTTTTCTCAGTTAAGTGCTCTTTTCTCGCTTCTTCTCCATTTTGTGCATTATTGTATCAATTTTCTCACTGTTAAGACTAGTTGAAAAGAATTACTCTTGGAATAGTAAGATCTGTACATTTTCGAATACCAGAAGCTTGTGGCATTGCGTTGAATTTTTTGCTAGAAGTTGAAAAATCCCATTGCGTTGAATTTCTTGCTGTGAGTTTTCTTCTTGAATTTCTTGCATTGAACTTCTTAAACTTCTTGTTATATTTCTTGTTGCCATAGGAAATTAAAATCATCACTGCAACCATTGCAGTAGATGTATGACAATTTTTGTCATGAAATTGTATAGCTTACTTTATTTTAAATTAGATTATTATGTATCTTATAGGTTAACAGAATCAGTTTTTATGTTAACAGAAACAGTTTTGCATCATTCGGACTATTTTTCTCAGGTAAGTGCTCTTTTCTCGCTTCTCTCTCCATTTTGTGCATTATTGTATCAATTTTCTCACTGTTAAGACTAGTTGAAAAGAATTACTCTTGGAATAGTAAGATCTGTACATTTTCGAATACCAGAAGCTTGTGGCATTGCGTTGAATTTTTTGCTTGAAGTTGAAAAATCTCATTGCATTGAATTTCTTGCTGTGAGGTTTCTTCTTGAATTTCTTGCATTGAACTTCTTGAACTACTTGTTATATTGCTTGTTGCCATAGGAATTTAAAAACATCACTGCAACTATTGCAGCAGATGTATGACAATTTTTGTCATGAAATTGCATAGCTTACTTTATTTTAAATTAAATTATTATGTATTCTAGAGGTTAACAGAATCAGTTTTTATGTTAACAGAAACAATTTTGCATCATTAGGACTATTTTTCTCAAGTAAGTGTTCTTTTCTCTCTTCTCTCTCCATTTTGTTCATTATTGTTTCAATTTTCTTACTGTTAAGACTAATTGAAAATAATTACTCTGGAAAGAGTTAGATTTGTACATTTTCGAATACCAGAAGCTTGTGGCATTGCGTTGAATTTCTTGCTTGAAGTTGAAAAATCTCATCGCGTTGAATTTCTTGCTGTAAGGTTTCTTCTTGAATTTTTTGCATTAAACTTCTTGAACTTCTTGTTATATTTCTTGTTGGCATAGGAAATTAAAATCATACTCCAACCATTGCAGTAGATGTATGACAATTTTCGTCATGAAATTGCATAGCTTACTTTATTGTAAATTATATTATTATGTATCTTAGAGGTTAACAGAATCAGTTTTTATGTTAATAGAAACAATTTTGCATCATTGGAACTATTTTTCTCAAGTAAGTTCTATTTTCTCTCTTTTCTCTCCATTTTATGCATTATTGTTTCAATTTTCTCACTGTTAAGACTAGTAGAAAAGAATTACTCTGGAAACAGTTAGATCTTTAGATTTTCGAATACCAGAAGCTTGTGTCATTGCGTTGAATTTCTTGCTTGAGATTTGTCTGAAATTGCATGTTTACTTTATTTTAAGAAATCTCAAGCAAGAAATTCAACACAATGCCACAAGCTTCTGGTATTCGAAAATGTAAAGATCTAACTGTTTCCAGAGTAATTCTTTTCAACTAGTCTTAACAGTGAGAAAATTGAAACAATAATGCACAAAATGGAGAGAAAAAAGAACACTTACTTGAGAAAAATAGTCCCAATGATGCAAAACTGTTTATGTTCACATAAAAACTGATTCTGTTAACCTCTAAGATACGTAATAATCTAATTTAAAATAAAGTAAGCTATGTAATTTTAGACAAAAATTGTCATACATCTACTGTAATGGTTGCGGTGATGCTTTTAATTTCCTATGGCAACAAGAAATATATCAAGAAGTTCAATTCAAGAAATTCAAGAAGAAACCTCACAGCAAGAAATTCAACGCAATGACTGAACTTCGAACAGCTTGCATTGAGCTGCTCCGTATGGAAATGGCATGGGCATAATTTAGAACTACAAATCAGTCTGAGTTGAGGGCAAAGATTATTTCAATGTTTTTCAAGTTTTTAACCTGCCGGGCACCAGAAATTGTTGTTGTTGCAAAGGGGGGCTTGTGACAGGACCCTTGATGGCCTTGATTCAAGATAATATCTTCCTACAAAGCTGAGACAACTTGTTGATTATACTGCCTCTCTATTCAATGAGGGGTTTCTAGATGAACAGTCTAACCAGCAGCTTCAAAACCTGCATAACCCAAAACCAAGGAAGTTACAATTAGAGCAGTTATGGGAAGGATTCAGAGGAATAAGGACAGCCATGAGTCATCAGAATTGCAAGAAAGGGGCAGTTAACAAATGTGTGGCAGCATCTCAGTTACAATCCTCCCAATCAAATAGCATAAATGACAATAAAGAGCAGTTTTAAAGGGGAGAGAATCAGAAATGAAAAGACTAATTTTAATGCATTAAAACAGAAAAAAAACCTCAATGGGCAGTCCCAAGGGGTTTATTTTTACACACCAAGAGGGCTCATACTCAGCTATAAAGAAGTCATCTCGAAGGATATCAGAATGCCCATACACTCATATCACAAATTGACCAAAGAGCAATCATACACTCATACAACCAGCTGCTTGAACCGTTGAAAAGTGGCATAGGAAGCTCACCCAATTCGGCCTTTTATACTCATTGCCAAGTACCTGAAATCATAGTTTTGAAAACCGTGCCGTACCGGCCGGTTCAACCGGAAAACCGGTGAACCGGACCCCTAACCGGTACGGTACGTATGTTATACCGCATATGCAATAGAATCGGTCAAAACCGGTTGAAAACCGGTTGGTTTGTACATTAATTTTTGTTTTTTTTAAATTTCAAATTTTCAATTCTTCACCAATTCTTCAACTTCAATGATTGATACTTGGGTCATTTATTTGTATTTTGCGTTTGTTAGGTGATAATTTTGGATAAATATATGTTTTGTACTTTAGACTTTGATTTTATTAAAGACTTAATGTTGTTTGTTTGTGTGAATTTGAAGTAAATTATGAATATGGATTATAAATATGAATATCTACTTATTTGAAATTTTTTGTTATAGGTTTACATATATATATATATATATAAGCAAGTATGTCCGGTTTAACCGGCATGCGGTTTAATTACTGAACCACTGTACCACTATACAGTACCCTAACCGGTTTGATAACCGGTACGGTTTTAATAACATTGCCTGAAATCAATAAGGAATGACATGCAACAAAAGAGTTATACTCATATTAGTCACATGATAAAGGCAAGGGAAAGAAGAGTCAATGAAAGTAACAGAAAGGGATTCCAAAAGAAGCCATAAAGCAGTGGTCATTGCCCTGTAGTTATATTTTAATAAAATATTCTCATTAATGGCAATGTTAAAGAATAACCAGGAGAAAATAGGGAGGCATATATGTTCAGCATTGCATTATGTATGTAACACCCCAAATTTTTAGTCTTTAAAATCATAATATCAGTCCTCGGATCCTCGCTTGAGCGAGAGATGTTCACCTGGGAGGGTGAAATCCTGGACTATACTGGAAGATTCTCGCCTGAGCGAGAGATGTCTCGCCTGAGCGAGAAATGTCATTTTGGGGCTGTTGCCACTGTGAGATTCTCGCTTGAGCGAGAGGGTCAGATTTGAGTTTTTAAAATGGGCGGGATTTTCTCGCTTGAGCGAGAATCCCTCGCTTAAGCGAGAACCCGGCGAGACAGCATTTAATAAGAAACCCCTAAACACAATCTAGGGTTTAGAAAAGAAGAAGAGTGAGAGAAGAGAGCTTTTCAAGGGCAAAAAGCTTGGATATTCATCTAAGAGCTTGAGAAGAGGTAAAACTCTAGATTCTAACTCTCTTTTTCTCTCTTAAACTCACTTTGGGGTATGTTGGATCTCTTCTAAAAAATGAAGAAAACCATGGAAACTCATCCTTTTGGGTGATGGTTCATTTTATGTTATTCTTACCTTGTAAACTCTTAGTTTTAAGTTAGTGTTCCAAGAATGGAAAGGGGTTTGTGAGTTGACTCATGAAAACCCAAAACCCTAGAGAGAGAAAATGAGGTTGGAGAGGAAAGATGAGTAAAATACTAGAGGTAGAAGATGAGTTGAGTTACAATGTTAAAATATGAAAGGATATGAATGTTTTAGATGGTTGAGTGATGCAATATAAATTGTTTATGTGATATTTGGAAATAAATGACTGACATTATCGTTATGTGATGAGGATAATGAAAGATCCTAAGGTTGGAGGAGGTAGCGAAGGAACGTGCAAAGTTACCCACAACCAACCCCGACACGTACCAAGGTAAGGAGAAGTTATTAATGATATATGATAATAGAAAATGTGTGAATCTTCTGATTACGTATACGATCGGTGTATGACTTGCCCTATGTGGTATTGTGTATGACTTGCCCTACGTGGTATTGTGTATGACTTGCCCTATGTGGTATTGTGTATGACTTGCCCTATGTGGTATTGTGTATGACTTGCCCTATGTGGTATTGTGTATGACTTGCCCTATGTGGTATTGTGCATGACTTGCCCTATGTGGTATTGTGCATGAATTGCCCTATGTGGTATTGTGTATGACTTGCTCTATGTGGTATTGTGTATGACTTGCCCTATGTGGTATTGTGTATGACTTGCCCTATGTGGTTTTGTATATGACTTGACCCAAGTGGTGGTGAAAAGGTAAAAGTGCAATTGGAAAATAATGATTTGAAATGGTATTGATGAAGGAGGTGACAAGGTATGGCGGAGATGAATGAGTAAAACCAAAAGGGTGGATGTAGTAACTTGAGAGGAATAAACAGGAGATGTAGATTTTATCATTTTATGGCTTCTTGTATTATAAAACTTAAAATGTGGATTATCGTTTACTGATATTTATTGAATTGATAACTTTCTCCTTTGTTTTTGTTGTGTACATCTGTTATGATAATCCCATTGCAGGTAAACGAGGAAATTGATGATACTCGGTTCGAGGCATGAGGAGTTTAGAACTCGAAATCCTATTCTTTTTGTTTGATTGATGTAAACTGTTAATTGGATAATTGTAAATCCTAACTGAATTAGTACTACATTTTTGTAAAGCTGAATATTAATAGCTATGAGTATTTTGGAATCCCATAGCTAGTCATATGCGGTACTTACCAAGAAGGGGATATATGAATTATGTTTTTCTGCTCCATGGAAAAATGGTTCTAGTTTATTGCGATAACTGACTTTAGAGTATTGAATGTTGTTTAACTGAAGAGAAATAGAGATGATAGGAATATCTATATTAAAATGAGAAGAATTTTCAAGGGTAGAATTTTGGCCCTTACACTGTAAGTCCAAGAGACTTTCACAAACCCACACTCAGCTATAAAAGGAAGTAAACAAAGCACAAAAAGGGGGAGGGTATTACATATACACACAGAGCAAACCAGAAGCCATACACACCATCATCTTTCTCTTATCCACCATCTCAACGACCCAACCTCGTTATCTCTCAATCACCACCTATAACTCAACCATCACCCTCTCTATAGCATAACCACTACAAAAAAAGCACCTCAACTTACTCATTCAATCATCCTGTATATCTGCTTCCATTATCTATCTTTTAGCCCTCAACTTATTAATGGTTTCACACTCTGAAACATACACATAAAATGTCCATATACGTAGACCTTCTAACGACTCGAAATTCTACCATTGAAATTGTTTCCTTATTTAATCCAATTTCATACAATAACAATCAACCATAATTATCGAGTGATTAATTTTATTTTAAAAGTCGCACTTCACACTCACACCCTATCCTTGAACCATAAGTAACATACAACATTCGATAACAGAAAAACATAATTCATTAATATAACCTAGTAACCCCCGCATACAATTAGCTACGGGTTTCCAAAACACCATTAGCTACATATATCCCGAGTTATTAGTCTCATGATCAATATCATGTACAAAAATAATATTCATAGTACCATTAGTTACTTCAATTACAATCAATTAAAGTTACAAAAGAATGGGTGAAGAGACATCAAAAATAAAAGTCTCTAATCCCCTACTCAAAATCATCCTTCTCCGCCCACCTACCTGCAATGGGATTAACATTTACCATGCACAAACAACACAAAGGAATAAGTCATTAATTCAATAAAACTCAATGTCAGTTAATCCACATTTAATAGTTTTTCACAGTGATATAATTTAAATACTCTTAAAAACCCTTTTCGTCATCTATACTTTTAAAAAAACCCTGCTACATAACTCGAGCTAGAGTCGCTAACCCATTCCGGTCGGTTAAAACGAGTTTTATTTTCATTGGCACTCCACCAATACATAAATCATAAATACACCCCTCATCACTACATACATACCCATATATGTTTGTAGTGACTAAGTGATTCACCATTTATGTCATTATATTTCGAGTCTTATTTCTATTGGTACTCCCCCAATAAGTTGCGAGTCTTATTTCCATTGGTACTCCCCCAATAATATTTATTTCGTTTGAGTCATATTTCCATTGGTACTCCCCCAATAATATTCATTTCGTTTTCGAGTCTTATTTCCATTGGTACTCCCCCAATAATATTCATTTCGTTCCGAGTCTTATTTCCATTTGTACTCCCCCAATAATATTTATTTCCTTTCGAGTCTTATTTCCATTGGTACCCCCAATAATATTTCATTCATTTCGTTTTCGAGTCTTATTTACATTGGTACTCCCCCAATAATATTTATTTCGTTCCGAGTCTTATTTCCATTCGTACTCCCCCAATAATATTTATTTCCTAAACTCACTTCTAACAATTATCAACATACCCATATATGATTAAGTGATTCATATTTTATCCATCATCCATAACAGAAAGTCCACGCGTTTTCCACATAATGCATAAATTAAAGACTTATCCTTACCCCGGTGAGTGTTGGGTTTGGTTTTTGGTGACTTCGCAAGTTCCACCGGCACCACCTCCAAACTTAGGATCTTTCCTCATTCCCACCACATAACACAATGTTAGTCATTTATTCCAAATAACAAATACATAACTTATATTGCATCATTTAAACGTATAAGATATTTATCATGTTCTTAATGGTTCTATACTACTTTCGTTAAAAGTTTTCAACCATCTAAAACATACATATCATCTCATATTTTAACATTGTAAAGCAACTCATCTTCTACCTCTAACATTTCACCCATCTTTCCTCTCTAACCTCATTTTCTCTGTCTAGGGTTTTGGGTTTCCATGAGTCAACCCACAAACCCCTTTCCATTCTTGGAATACTAACTCAAAACCAAGAGTTTACAAGGTACAAACGACATAAAATGAACCATAACTCGAAAGAGAGAGTTTCCATGGTTTTACACATTTTGAGAAGAGATCCAACATACCCCAAAGTGAGTTTAAAAGAGAAAAAGAGAGTTAGAATCTAGAGTTTTACCTCTTCTCAAGCTCTTAGATGAATATCCAAGTTTTTTGCCCTTGAAAAGCTATCTTCTCTCACTCTTCTCCTTTTCTAAACCCTAAATTGTGTTTATGGGTTTCTCATTAAATGCTGTCTCGTCGGGTTCTCGCTTAAGCGAGGGATTCTCGCTCAAGCGAGAAAATCCCGCCCATTTTAAAAACTCAAATCTGACCCTCTCGCTCAAGCGAGAATCTCACAGTGGCAACAGCCCCAAAATGACATTTCTCGCCCAGGCGAGACATCTCTCGCTCAGGCGAGAATCTTCCAGTATAGTCCAGGATTTCACCCTCCCAGGTGAACCTCTCTCGCTCAAGCGAGAATCTCTCGCTCAAGCGAGGATCCGAGGACTGATACTATAATTTTAAAGACTTAAAATTTGG